GCCGCGACGTGTCGGGGTACGCCAGCACCGGCGCCTGGACGAGCGCCTGCTGGATCGCGCGGAACGACTTCTCGCACTCTGCCGACCAGACGAATGGGATATTCTTCCGCGTCAGCATCGTCATCGGGCGCGCCAGCTCGGCATAGTTCGGCACATGACGCCTCATGAAGGACGCGAGGCCGTTGACCTCACGCACACCAGTCGCGTCCGTCGGCGGCTTCCAGTTGAGGACTGCCTGCACCTTGCGAGGATCCACCGCCACTCCGGCTTCGCTGACCCGCCGCCCCAAGAAGTCGACACTCGACGTGCCAAACACGCACTTCTTCAAGGAGACGTACAGGTCAAACTCCCTCAGCCGAGCCAGCATCTGCTTCACGTGGAGCTCGTGCTCCTCCGGCGTCTTGGAAAACACAATAATGTCGTCAAAGTACCCTCCAGCGAAAGCGGAGAGCGGGCCCATGACCTCATTAATCAGACGCTGGAACATCGCCGGCGCGTTGACCAACCCGAAACACATGACCCTGTGTTGGTACAGCTTGCCGTCGCACGGGAACGCCGTGTATTTCTCACTGTCGGCGCTCAATCTCACTTGCCAGAACGCGCTCGTGAGATCAAACTTGCTGAAAAATTTCGCGCCCTTCAGCTTGTCAATCAGCGCCAAGGCATCAGGCGACGGGTACCGATCCCTGATCGTCGCCTCATTCAGACGCCGGAGTCCATACAGACGCGCCAGCCATCACCCTTCTTGACGAACATGGGCTGGGAGCAGAACGCGGACTCGGACTCCACAATCATGCCAGTCTTCAGACCGTCCTCCACGTACTTCCTCAGGGCTTCCTCCTTGCTACGGCCAAACTTGCGGTTCGGGTCACACCTGAGCTGCTTGGACGGGTCAATACGGATCACCGCATCAAAACCAGGTCGGCTCACGGGCAGCTTCTTGGGTCCGCTCGGTTCAAAACGATCCGCGAACTCTGCGTACGCCTCGGGCAGAACCACCTCCAGCGCATCGGCCGCCGCGACCAAGCGCACAAACATACGCCGTTTCTGTCGCTTCCGACGTCGCCGGAACGCCACCACTGACGACGGCAACCTCGCCTCCGACGCTTCCCGCAGGATCGCCACCGGCGCTGGCTTGGTCCCTGTCACCACCGGCTTCGCCTCTTCCGCTGCTGCCGCCGGCTTGGCCTCTGTCGCCGTCGCCGGCTCGGCCTCTGTCGCCACCGTTGGCTGAGCCTCGCCCTGCGCCGGCTTGGCTTGTGTCGCCGGCTTAGTCTCGTCCTGAGCCTCCGTCTCTTGCGCCACCGCCGGCTTAGCCTCGTCCCGCGCCACTTGCGCCACCGCCGGCTTAGCCTCGTTCTGCACGTCCGCCGCTTTCGCAACCACCGCGGGCGCAGCCTCGTCCTGCTGCACCACGCCAATGACGCCCGAGCCCAGACTGCCCTTGCCTCTGACACGAACCGGCTTCATGCTCTCGAACTGCACCGTCCGAGTCGCCAGATCGATGACAGGATTTGCCGCCGCCAGCACATCCATGCCCAACAGGAGCGGCACCACCGGCCCATCCAGGATCATCGCTTGGACCCACAACTGCCGGCCCGCCAAAGTAACTCGCAGCGCCACGCCTTCGCGCACCTTCATCTCCTCCTTCGTCACTGTCCTCAACTTGATCATTGGAACTGGAAATGAGGGGGCACGAAGTGTATTTGCTACAGCACGGCTCACAAATGTGGCGACCGATCCAGTGTCAATAAGAGCTTGCACCTGCATCGCGGTATCAGAAGAACCCGCGCACGCGACTTGCACCTGCTGTGTCAACACTTCGTATCGCCCGACTCCTACCGCGTTCAGGGGAGTCGGGCTGGGCTTTTCCCTGCGCGGCCTCACCTTGAACTGCCGCCACCGCCGGGGCCTGACCGCATGTCTTCCTGAGATGGGTTCCGGAGCCACAGCGGAAACAAAGGTGCTCACGACGACGTCTCTCGAGCTCCTCCGCCGACAAGTTGTACTTGGCCGCCATAGCCTCCGCTAGCAGGACCCGCAGGCTCTGCGGTCCCGGCTGGGTCGCTCTTTGCTAAGAAGACTCGGCGTTGATGTCTTTGTATTGTTTGCATGCATTTGGAATTGCAGTTCAGTCTGCAAAGTGAAATAAAACACACTTTTCTACAACAGCATTGCCTGGCTAACCCTACCAAGGTCTCACTTGATGTTAAACATATCCGACATAAAGATACTCAAGTACGTCATCGCCGGGAGGCTCGCTGGGTTGAACTTGAACCTCCCAGCCCTCGCGCATTTGTCGGATGACAGGATGACTCGCTGGCCAGATTGTCGCAAGTCGAATGGTCGAATCGACGAAGCTTGGTGTCGCAGCACATTCGTATCGAACAACACCTTGCTCATCTCGAATAGTCAAGTAAAACACGCAGTTCTGTTTCGACTTGCCTTCTGTGCTCTTGTCCCAAAGCACCTGAATTACTTTCACGCGGATCGAATTCCCATTGATGCTCTGAGGCACTGTCACTTTCAGAACACCATCGGCGGTCCCTTCAATCCAATTCACTCGCTCCACGCCTTGCCAATAATATGCCTCGTCCATGATGAGATCAGCAATCTCAGCTGGTAGTGCAGGTAGAGATGCGGACTGATTCTCCAGCTCCAACCCGCTGGTCAGCATTCGGAACACGATCTGCAGGTCTTCAGCAGTTGCCAATCGTGGACGTAAGGCAAACGCAAGTGGGTTTATCTGGTAGTTGAGTCTATGCGACGAACAAGCAGCAGGATGCATCAGCAGTCAGCGAAGCCGCTCCACTGCTTGGAGAAGCATTGAATGAGCATCAAGGGCTCGAAACACGTACTTCAGTTCAGTCAAAGGGCGTGCGTCCTGAATTGCCTGAGCCGCAACCTTGCCAATGCAATTAAAAGCTAGACTGTTTCTCGACAAGTAAGCAACGAGACAAGAGGCAAGTTCTGATCGACTCTGACTTAAAGTTCAATACGAGCAACGAGCAGAGCAACATACTTGAGCTTCTTCACCGATGTGTTCACCTTGAGCGCTTCAGCAATCGCCTTCGCTCCTTCATCACCAATCTGATTTACGTTCAGGCTGTCCATTTTCATAGGTGAGCTCTTGAATGCCCTCTGTTAAATCATCCAAGCATCTGTCAAAATAAGATGACTTACTTGTGCTCGGTCAATGACGTGTTCACTTTGAGTGCTTCAGCAATCGCCATCATGCCAAGATTGCCGATCTGATTCTTACCCAGGCTGTCCAAGTCCCATCTCTCATTGAGCACTCTGCTTACCCTCTGCTGGAATCAGTCAAAGTGAGATGCCTTACTCGAGCGCAGTCAACGTCGTGTTCACTTTGAGTGCCTCAGCAATGGGCGTTGCTCCAGCATCGCTAATCCGATTGTCACCAAGACTGTCCATCTCCTCCATCAGTGAGCACTTCTACTGTCATGTGTCACCCACTCACATGCATCACGTTCAAGCGAGATGCCTTACTAGAGCTCAGACAGAGTCTTGTTGACTTTGAGTGTTTCCGCAATCGCCTGCGCTCCAGCTTCGCCAATCTGATTCTGGTCCAAGCTGTCCATCCTCTCCTTCAGTGAGCACTCTCAATGCCGGGCTGAAACCAGCCACTCACATCAAAGCGAGATGCTTTACTAGAGCCGAGTGACTGTCGTGTTCACTTTGAGTGTTTCAGCAATCGCCTGCGCTCCAGCATCGCCAATCTGATTAATCCCCAGACTGTCCTAGACGTCAACGAAGACTGTAGAACCTCTAGAATACTGATTCACATGCATCACCAAACGTGATTTTGCCTACCCGAGCGCAGTCACCGACGTGTTCACCTTGAGTGCTTCAGCAATCGCGTTCATTCCACCTTCCCGTATCTGGTTCCTATATAAGCTGTCCTTTCTCCGTCAATAATACATCTCAATGCCGACTGTTGGATCAGCCACTCACATGCATGTTCAAGCGAGATGCCTTACAAGAGCTGAGTCAGCGTCGTGTTCACTTTGAGTGTCTCAGCAATCGTTCGCGCGCCTGCATCGCCAATCTGATTCTTCCCCAGACTGTCCTCGACATCAGCGAAGCCTCTGTATTGTCACTGGATTACTCGCTCGCATCCATCAGTTTGAGCGAGATGCCTTACTCAAGCGTGGTCACAGTCGCGTTCACTTTGAGAGCCTCAGCAATCGCCTTCGCGCCAGCATCGCCAATCTCTTCCTCTGGCAACCTTTCCTCCATGCAGTACAGTCAATACGCGCGCAGTCACACTGTTGCTTTAGCTTCGGCTACTAACCTCAGGTCTCCTCTCGCATTCTTGACTTTATCATACAACTCGCGCTGTCTCCGAGTCATACTCTGATGCGACAGCATGTTGGCAAAAAAAAAAAAAAAAAAAAAATAACAAAGAAAGAAGACTGAAAAAACTTGACTGAGCTGGATGGAAAGCTGAAAGAGAAGGCAAAAAGACGCCTTGAAACTGGAAGGAGAGGAAACGCACAAGGCACCATAGACCAACCGATTCTCCCCATCGGGTGTAGAGAGGGCGCATTTGGAATTGCAGCCCAGTCTGCAAAGTGAAATAACACACTTTCCACAACAACATTGCCTGGCTAACCCTACCAAGGTCTTACAGAAGGGGAAGAAGGAAAAACCGAAACGCACGCGCTTGAAACCAAACAAACAAACAAACAAACAACCTGAAACACAGAAAGATTGACGATATTTGATCTTTTCGTTCCTTCGTCGCTTCCTAATTTGCATACTATTACATGCATGCTCGAAGATAGTGAATGTAATTGTGAAATCACAAAAACAAACACAACGAACAAAAACAAACGAAAAAAAAAACAAAAAAAAACGTGCGAACGCCGAGAATCGGACTCGGGTCAAGTCGTTGGCAACGACCTATTCTGCCACTGAACCACGTTCGCAGTGCTTGATGAACGTCTCATGGGCAAAAGCGATGGAGATTCAAGTGCAGTCAAAACCCAAACCGTGTTTTATTAATTCTTGTCGCGAATTCTCAGTCGGCGGTTTGACTTCTACCTCAAATTCACCAATTCACCCAATCGGCAAAGCGCCACAAAAGTCACTCGATCCCTTGTCCCAGCACCAACAGTCCGCACATTGAATCGTGTCTTTTGTTTAGTTTTGTTGCTGTTTGTTTGTTTGTTTGTTTGTTTGAGCTTTGGTTGTTGTAGTACCACTGTCGGGGAACTGTTGTTCAGAAAGCTTTATTATACACATGACATCGAAAGGTCCAACCAAAAATGCCCCTGGGAGGGGGGGGGGAAACTATCAAGAAATACAAAAGCATCAGAAAACGAGAGAAAAAAATTGAACCGTTTCACACAGCCTGCTTCTCACCCCATTCTAATACACAGATGCAACTTCTAATACACAGATGCAACTCGATGAATGATCGGGGGCGCATGTTCCGGTACTTGCGTGTAGCCATTTCGTCGCTTCCGAATGAGCTGAATCTCCTTGTAGACGAGGTGCGAAAGCAAAATGCCACTGACGGCCTCCATTCCCATCAGCATCCAGAACGTGTAGTCCCACGTTGCGGCGTTGTTTGGGTCGACAATCCAGCCGGCGATCGAGGGACCAAGGGCAGCACCAATCGATCCGGTTCCATCAATGATGGCCGTCACGGTTGCGAGTGCCTGGGCGTTGCCCTTGAGCGATTCGTGCCCACCAAGATCGGCGGAGACGGCAGTGGTGATGAGCGAATACGGGCCTTGGACAGCGATGCCAGCAAGAATCATGAGACCAACGTTGGTGGCAATGTTGACGGGACCGTACACACGGTAGACGTACATGATGGGAATGGCCACGTACAAAAAGACCGTGCTCAAAATGGCCGGCTTGTCAAACATGTCAGAGAACAGCCCAATCAGCACACCGCCAATAATACCGCCGACATCAAACAGGGTGGACAGGTAGCCCGAATAGGAGCTGTCTAGTTTCTCGCCATCGACTGGCGTGTTGGAAAGGTAGTATGGCAGCCAAAACATGAACGTGTAGCTCACTAGCTTGCAGAAGAAGAGCGAAGCAGAGTAAATGGCAACGCCCGGGATGAGCCATGCGCGCCAGAACGAGATGGGCTCCAACTGCGGTTCAGGAGGGCTCAGCAAGCCGTCGGACACGCCGTCTTCGCTGGTGAGCTGCTTTGCCGAGCCATTGCGAGAAATGGCGCCGTTCTTTGAGTGAATTGTAGACAGCTTGCTATCAAAGATGGCCGCGACAGCCTCAGCAGCACGAACGTTGCGAGGGTCGTCCAATTGGCCGTTGCGATGGGCGTCAAACAATCGCTGCTGCTCGACCGAAAGCATGCCAACATCCTCGGGCCGCTCAACAAGGAAGAAGAAGAGAAAGAGCCCAATGGCAGCGCAGATGATGCCCGGAACAATGAAGGCCCAGCCCCAGCCCCAAGGAAGCACGGCAGAGCACACAACCGCGCCAATAATGTTGCCGACCGAGGAGTTGGAGTTCCACAGACCCATGATCAAGCCACGCTGACCCTTGCCAAGCCAGTTGCCAACGACAGCAACCACAGCGGGCCAGCCTGTCGACTGGAAGAGGCCCATCACGATTTGCACAAAGACAAAGTAGCCAAAGTTGTGAATGTTCCAAGTCTGCGCGAGGCCGTTGAACACCATGAAGAGCGCCGTGCCAAACATGCCAATGACCAAAAACAAGCGCAAACTCATGCGGTCTGCAATGTGGCCCGAAACAAACATGCCAACAGCATACGCGCCAAGGAAGACAGAGTCCAGATTGCCCAGCAAGGAGTGGTTGTCGACGAACGGCTCCCAGCCAGGGTCGCTTGGGCTGGTGTTGTTGGGCGCAAGCGTGTCCTTAACGATCGAAGATGGCTTGCGGGCCAGATGCAGGGCAGTGTAGCACAAAAAGGTCAGCAGCAACGCCCAGAATTGATAAAAGACTCGGACCGTGCAGAATTCAGACACGCGCTGCCACCACCCAGGTGTCTCGTCCGACTTGGTTGCGGCTTTCAGCGGGTCGCTTGCTTCGTATGCTGGCCGCGCGCAGCATCCCATCGAGCGAGCCACCTGAATGCCTACCGGGCAGCCTGGCTGTTTCAAGTAGTTCATCAATCCCATAGCTCTCGTGAATGCAGTGCAATTGGCGACCACTTGGATAAGCGTTGGGAGAGCCAAGTCCTAGCGATGTCAACAATGATTTTTAAAAACAACCATCCCATGTGAGCGTGAAACATTGTGGAACAACAACAACAACAACAACAACAACAACAACAACAACAACAACAACAACAACAACAACAACAACAACAACAACAACAACAACAACAACAACAACAACAACAACAACAACAACAACAACAACAACAACAACGACAACGACAACAACAATGACAACAACAACTGTGGGAATAAGCATCTTGTGCATGTCGTGTCGGTGATCAAAAGCAGTAGCAGCAGCACCACCGTTGTTGTTGCACATTTGCGGGCACTTCAAGCAAAGCTCCTCGTTCTCAATGCTTCACACCATTTTTTTTTCCCTCTCTTTACCAGCGTTTTGGTGACCTGTCTGCTCCGTTCAGTGAGAGCGTGTCATGCTCTAAAATCGACGCTGGGTTTGGTCCTTCATCCATTCATCCACACACTGATGCAATCCACCAATGAATGCTAAAATCATCATGTTCCCGTTTTTTTGCCCCTCTGCTCGCAATCAATATGTCGGTCTCCAGTCGCGAAACGAGGCGCACATTGCGAAACAACAAGCATTCATTGGAAGAAATCAAAAAATTGATTTTTTTTTTTTTTTTTTTTTTTTTTTTTTTTTTGGTTTGTTGATACGATTGCCAACTGTCAACCAATTTGAAGAAGGGGCGGCTCATTTTCGCTCGGCTGTTTGCTCCTGTGTTTTGATAGCGCAATGCATTGCTGGTTTGTTGCACTTGCTCACCACAAACCCAACACAAGCACAAAACGCGTCTGAAAGCCAACAACAACACGACGCGACGAAATCCAAAGCTCAAAACAGAAAAAAAAAAAAAAAAAAAAAAAAAAAAAAAAACACGGATTGTGTTCCACACTCGATGCTTGCACACTTCTTACTTTTGCTTCAAGCACTATCACCCTCGCTCTGCGCCAATGCAGCTGACCACGCATCCACAGAGCCCATCGACGCATGCAGTGAGGCGACAACAGACAAGAGTTCCCGCTATTTCCCCCATATCCCCGCCTGACCACACAGAATGGATTTTGCGACACGAGACTGCATAAAAAGTGCTTTTTTTTTGCTTTTTTTTTTTTTTTTTTTGCCGTCCTTCCCCCTTTCCTCAGTTCTCACGGCCTCCCGTCCGCGCTGCTGCCACTCTCGCACTCTGGGGGTGGTTGGTCATTGGCTTCAAGAGTCATCACAACGATGGAGCAAACGTCGCACCCCGAGGAACAGCGCAAAACCAAAAAGCATCCCACAGTTCAAGGGAGGAAGAAAGTAAGGAACACTTACAATAAACGAAAAAAAAAAAAAAAAAAAAAAAAAGATGAGTGATTCACAATGCAAAACTCAATGAAAAAAAAGTCATGCATTGCACTCGAGTCTGAATTGCTTGGATGAGCCCTCGCATCAGAAATCACGCCCAATAATGATACGATAATACAGGGGTAAATGGAACAATTGGCTGTAATTCTCGTTCACAAGAAAAAAAAAAAAGGATCAACACAGCAATGGATGAAAAACAACAAAACGTACTCATCGATATGCACCCAGTGCATCAAAACAAGCCCAACAACAGAGCCACAGCAGAGTAACACAAGAGCAGGCAGAAGACAAAACACACAACAAGGAACAAGAGAAGAAAAGGCATTTCAGCCTTCATGAGGACACACCAACAAGCGACAAAACAAACTAAAAATCATCCGTGCAGCATTGGGACTGCAGCACCTGCAGCGTTGCTGCTAGCAAGCGCCACTGCTGGAGGACGAACGCTGGCATTTAGTACGACCGTGGCAATGTTGGTGCTGCGCTCGGCACAGCCGGCAGTGACATGCTTGCAGTTGGACAGGTTGACATGCTGCAAGACGGCGCAGTTCTCGTTGAGGCAGCGAAGCGCGTCGTCGGTGATGGACGAGCAGTTGCGCAGATTCAGCCACTGCAGAGTGACGCGCAACTCGGAGGGGGAGGCGACCAGCGCATCCACGGAAGCGTCGGTGACGGCGCCCGCGCAGCTGGCAAGATCGAGATGCACCAGCGCCTTGCAGTGACGAGCGAGATGGGACAGCGCGGCTTCTGTGAGGCCAAAGCAGAACGACATGTCGAGGTGTTGAAGCTGCGGGCACCCAGCAGCAATGTCGGCCACCGTTTGGTCGTCGAGAGCAAACAAGTCGGAGAGAATCAGCTTGGTCAAGCGCAGGGCTGGCGTCACACGCAGCGGCGCAAAGGCCTCCTTGGTCAGACGCGTGCAGCGTTGCAAATTCAAGTGCTGCAAGGTGTTGGAGCACGTGCCAAGCACCTCCACCATTGCCGCATCTGAAATGTTCTTGCAGTACGAGAGCTCGAGCCAACGAATGGTGGAGCAGCTGGCGGTCAGCTGAATCAGCGAATCGTCCGTGATTTTGCGGCAGTTGCTAATATCCAAGTACTGAATGTTCGGGCAGTGCGAGCCAAGCAGAATCAAGCTTTCGGTCGTAATGTCCCAGCAGCTGAACAAGGACAGATACTCGAGCTTTGGGCATCGCTCTACAACAATCCTGAGGCCATTATCCGTAATCAGCCAACAGTTGTGGAGCGATAGCTTCCGCACAGAGTCCCCGAGCTTCTCGGTAAGATTGTCAAGCACGGTGTCGGTGACCTTCTTGTGCACGGACGACAGGTCGATGGTGGACACAACTTCGGGCGCGAAGGCAAGGCGATGCCACATTTGACACACTCTGCTCACGCGCACAAGATCCGGAAAGTCCAGCCACGAGAAAATGCGCATGGTGACGGTGACGGGCAGCTCGACAATGTTGGAAACGGTCAGTCCGCTGTCTGCTGCGGCACGGCGCTCTTGCTCGGCAAGGAAGGCCTTGCGCACATCGTCAGGCAAGGTGCGCGATCGAGATTCGTCTTGCGGAATATCCGTCATGACGGTCGGGAGCCAAACAGCGACACTTGCTCTGCGGCGACCAACCGACTGGGCAACCAGACGATCAACAGCCGGATTGCTCATCGTTGTTGGAGCAGATGTGCCTGGGGCGGCGGCTGTTGAGGTGGTGCCCCAGCCTCCGGCACCGAAATTGGCGAACGGATTGACAGCAGGGCCGTCATCATCATCATCGTCGTCGTCGTCGGCATCGTCGTCTTCGTCTTCTTCATCGCTGTTTTCCTGGCTCGTAACTTCAGCAGTGGAAGTCGCCCCATCCGAGCCATCCTCGTCCACAGTTTCAGGCTCGGACATTTTGCCAAGCAGATGCGGCGGCAAGGAAGGGGCAAACCCACCTCGATGTCGGGAAGCAGACATCATGCCCGATGCAGCTGCTGCCGCTGCTGCTGCAGCTGCCGCGGCGGCGGCATTGGCATCATACGCGACCTCATCAACGGATGAAGATGGTGCGACCACTTCGTCAGTGACGGGCGTGCTTTCCACAGTGATTGTAGGGGTCACCACAGGACTCGTCGGCGCAGGCAACACGGCCAGCTTTGGAGAGGACTCTTTCAGGCTGGACGACTGGTGCGGAAGGCCGCGAGCGGGCACAGGGACAGCAAGATCGGCGGCACCCTGCTGGCTGTCGAGATGAAACTCTGAAACGACAACATTTCCACTCGGCGGGGCCAGTGCAGGCGATAGATGCGGGGATAGGAGCTGAGGAGATTGCGGCGACCCGGTCTGGCGCAGGTCAACGCTGGAGCTCTTTGCCAACGTTGAGCGGCTGTTTTGGCGAGACGGATGGGACGAAGAACTGGGGGACAAATTGCGCGGCGACCCTTCCTGGTTGGGCGATTGGGATGCCTGGCCCATCATGGACGCACGTTTGCGCAGCTCGTTGGAATTCTCGTCTGCCGACTCCTTGAGAGAGGCAAGGTCGGCAGATGGCGTGCGACGATGCGTGCGACGGTGGTAGTTGGAGGTAGGCGAAGCCATGGCCTCCAGCTGCAGCGTGTCCAAACCCGTTGAGCTGGCGGTCGGGCTGCGGGTCGCGCTTCCCGGTGTTCCCGACATCGAGGTCGCCAACGGCGAGCCACCGGCTGCCATGGCAGTGAGACGGCGACTCATGTCCTCCATGGAGAAGGCCTTGCGAGGTGGTGCAAAGGGGCCAGCAACTGGGCGGTACTGCGACAAATCGACCGGCTCGGCGGGTCCTACGGTGGCAGGAGCTCCAGCAGCAGTCGTACCGGCAGCAGCGGCGATGGCGGCGGCAGCGGCGGCGGCAGCAGCAGATGTGTTTAGAGCACTATTGCTCGCCGATGCGAATGGGAACGCCGAGGTCGACGAGTGATGAGGTACTGGTGACTCGATGACTTGATGGGGGCGCAAGTCAGGATTGTTGCCAAAGCGGGGCATGGCGGACAGTGACGCTGCGGCAAGATGCGACGTGGCCTGTCGAGACAGCTCTGCTTGGTTGTTCTCGTCCTGCTGAAGCAAAAGCTGCTCCAGCTGTGCGTGGGTCATTGGCTGGCCGTCGGCCGTGGCATCAAAGGATTGGTGCTGTGCCATTGCAGAGAAGCTCCGACGATTGGCCATGGTCAGAATGGTGGGCGGGAACACAACACCTCCAGGGGACATTTCGCGAGCTTCCGTCGCCGTAATGTCTCGAAGCGAGGGCATCGATACAGAGGCGGCCATGCTGCCCAGACCCAGCCCTTGGCTGAAGCCCAGCGATGATGAAAGTTTGGATGCCAGCCCCGAGCCAGGCGAAGGGCCGTTGGCGTTGGCGAGGTTGAGCACTGAACCAGCAGTTGGAGGTGAGGAGATACCACCCCCGAGTTGAGAGGCCGCCGGATCACTGGCAGGAAGCAGCAAAATGTCGGAAATGTTGGTAATCGACGTACTACGCTGAGCCGGTGGCGAGAAAATGGGACGGGCCTGCTGAGCGAGCTGCTGCTGCGACTGCAGGTAGCTGGGCCGGTCCTTCTCAGAGAAGCTGCGCCGCCCGCTGACCGCGAACGCAAGGGTGGTGTTTTGATTTTGCAGCGAGTTGTTGGGCGATCCGTTCGTGCTGTTGGTAGAGGTGACTGGAGCTGAAATCGCACGAGCATTGGACGAGCCAAACGAGCCAACTTGCAACTTGGGCAGCTGGTTCAGGAGGCCATTGTGGTGGACGAGATGCGACAGCTGGTGAGATGGCTGCTGCTGTTGCTGCTGCTGCTGGAGTTGCGGAGCTAGCCCGCTGTTGGCCAGATTGGCGGTACTGCTATTGTTGGGTGGCGTACCGCCAGAGAGCAATGGCGATCGCGAGCCGGGCGAGCCACGCTGCGACACAGGGGCGCTCATGCTGCCCGGACTGCCTGTCATGGGAGCGGACGCACCGAGCAATGGAGTGGAAAAGAGCACCGTGCCCACTCCAGTTGCTGAGGTTTGCGCGGTTGTTGGTTGCCGCGGCGACCCGTTACCCACGGCGGTGGTGGCGTCCGAGTTTGCACCAAATTTGCGCGATGGTACTGGAGATGGGGCAGGAGTTTGAACCGGAGACTTTCGATCGGGCGATCGAGAGGGAGACGCAGCCGTCTCGAGCTGTTTTGCTCGCAGCCAGTCGCGATACCTGTTTTGAGGTAGAGGAGGGAGGGAGAAGTCGGATTGTGAGCTACTATTCTTGGCAACAAAACGGGCGAGGAACAACGAGAGACTCCCAACTCTTGCACAAAGACATGAAATATCAAAACGTCCGTACCTTCGGTTGGAGATCTTTTCAATCCGCTCCTTCATCTCGGGATACAGGGGAGCAAGATCGTTCATGTCCGCTTTGCTCAAGGAAAACGTTTCAATGTCCTCTCGCGCAACGGCTGTCGTAAAGCGAGTGGTGTTGTACAAGACGGCAATCTGTCGAAACAAAGAAATAGGAATTTTTGTTTAAAAAAAAAACAAGAATCAAAAAAGAGGCGCTCAGTCCCCCTTGAGTGTGGCAGGAAATAGTTTGGCCAGGTGAGGATGACTTACTTCGCCAAAGAAGCTGCCAGGCATCAAAATCTCAAACTCCACTTCGTCGTCGCGGCCAAAAACGGACACCGAGCCGCTCAGAAGGAAGAAAATCTCATCGCCAGGTTCGTTGTAGTGGAAGATAATCGAGGTTGCTGGGAAGGTACGAGGGCGGACGCGCGCGGCTGCCATTCGAACAAAACCAGCGTCGCAGTGTGCGAACATTGGGATTTGCTGTTGGTGTCAAGATTGGGTTCAAAAACCAAACAAACAGACAAAACAAGAAAACCCGTTCCGACAAACAAAAAAAAAAAAAAAAACAAAGAGAAACCAAACGAAATGAAAAAAACCAAATCCGACAAAACAACAACACAAAAAACCACTCATCACCACTAGCTTACCCGAACAAGAGCTTCATTGGCCCGTAATAGCTCTTCGAGATCGTCAAACGACGCTTGTTTGGAGTGACCACCTTCCGCTCGCATGAGCGCAGCAGCGGTCGTAGTGCTGAATGCCGGTGCCACGGTACTGGCGATAGCGGGCGGTGCGCTGTCAGCGGCCGCGCTGTCGGCTGTGGGCGCCAAGACCGGCGACGCTTGGACGCGACCTCTCACCATCGAGAAGCGACTCTGCGCCTCCATTTCAATCTGGGCGCGCATCTCGGGAAATTCTTGAAACACCTCCGAGACCTTGTCGTGTGTGATTGCAAACAGAATGCAAGGCGTCAAGGCGCGCACGGTAGCTGTGCGCGGGACGCCAAACAGCAGGCCAATTTCACCAAAAAACTTGCCCTCGCCAAGGGTCGCGGCCACTGTCTCTCTGTCGGCAGAAATGATCTCCACAACGCCCTTGTAGATGAAAAACATGGCGCGCCCGCTGTCGCCAAAGCTGATAATCACGTCGCTCGCTTTGTACAGGCGCGGCTTCATGGTCTCGACTAGCCGCTCCAAAAAGGCATTGGACGAGCTGTGGAAGAGCGGCGATTCCTTCAGCTGCAACGACAAGAGCCGGACTGGCGACGAGACATCTGCCGAGCGTGTTTCAGAACAAGAGAAGCGAGAGCAACATGTGAGCAAGGAGCCGAGTCAGTCAACCCAATCCAATCCAACAGTCCAACGCGGCGCTCTCTTCACAAACAGCACCGTCACGATTGCATCGAGCATGGTGAACGCAATGTTGAAATGTTCGGTTTGCATCGCTTTTAGGCGGCAATTCGTCATGCAAAAAACGCCAAATCGCTCCGCGCGCACACACACACAACGAGCATGTCGCGCACAACACTCCCCGACTCACAGTTGCTTCCAGAGCAAAAATTCCCCGACAACTCGATGTCGTCAAACACATTGTCACGCCAAAAAAAAAAAAAAAAAAAAAAATTCTCGGACTGCGTTTCGCAGAGGGGTTTTTTTTTTTTTTTTTTTGAAAAGAAAGAGCGGCAGCTATCTGTTGCGCTCAGCAAGCAAGGGTCTCCGCAGTTCCTCTTTCCCACTACAACTTTGCTCTCCCTACCATGCATTTGCATTGCGCCATGCCATTGCGTTGGGAATGATCAACAAAACAAGCAAAGTGTTCGCGACCCTTCTTTTTTTTTTTTTTTTTTTTTTTGGTTGATACATTCTATTCGAACTCCGTCGCTTTTTTTTTTTTTTTTTTTTTTTTTTTTGTTTCCTCTTCCATCGTTTGCGTTTGTTCAGAGCGTTTCTCAGCAGACTTCGCGCCTGTTGGTGAACATCGCTTGTTGTGCACAAAATCGCAAGAACTCGCCCTTCCCCCTTCACCGTCCTCCTCCTCCTCCTCCTCCTCCTCCTGGCAATGTTGAAACACGGCCATTATAAAAAAAAAAAAAAAAAAAAAAAAAAAAGCCGAGTGGAGTTGTTACCTTCGCCAGACTCAGATGCTGCGGCTGCGGCGGCGGCTGCTGAGGTCGAGCCAAAACTGCTGGCGCGGGAGCGACTGGCAGTGGAAGTGGCTGGAGTAGTGTGGGCGCTGTTGCCGGCGGCAGAGGAAGCGGTGGCCGACGCGGTAGTCACGGCGCCACCAGAGAGGAGGCTGCGACCGGCGCTGCCCGACGACGACAACGACGACGGGGTGCTGAACAGCGCGGGTGGCATGGAAGCCATGAGGCTGCGCGGCGACAGTGGTGGCGGGTACGATGCAGAGGACGACAGCGACGACGACGACGAGGCCAAGAGCGACGATGTGAGGGGGCTGCCAAACACTTGCGGCTCGGCAGACGAGCTGGTGCCCGTGCTGGGGCTGCCGGCAGAATTGGGTGCGCTCGGCACACTGGCAGCAGGGCCGAGCTGGCTCGCCAGGCGTCGGCGCGTTGTGGGCGAAGGCAGCGGCGACGCCAAGTTGAGCGCAGCGTTGCGACTGGGAATGGCACTCGCACTACCAACACCAGCGGCGTTGCTGCCTCCGAGCGGCGCAGCGACACCCGCGGCGGCAGCAGTGATGGTGGCGTGTCCTGCGACCAAAGACGAGGAGGACGACGAGGACGACGACGACGAGGTGGACAAAGTGGACGAGGTGGACGAGGACGTTGTGAGGATGTGTTGTTGCTGATGCTGCTGGTGCGATGCTGGCCGTGCTGCTGTTGCCGCAGAGTCCAGCTTGAGGGGCTCTGGAACATGACCCTTGCGATGGTGCACCTCCAAGCCAGCAGCCATCGACCGCAACGAGGACGGCGAAGGAGGCGTTGCAGGCTCCGTCCGTGTCTGCGCGCCGCCTCCAGACATTGACAGCGGGGGAGAAGAGGGATGGTTTTGTTGGACGAACGGCAGAAAGAGACGCGAGGGCAGATCAGACAACGACCACCAAGAATGAATCCAAAGAACACGAAGCAGGGGGGGGAGGTAAGGGTTGAAAGGGGGTCGCTGTGTTGCACAGGCAAATAACAACGAGAAAACGGGCAAAAAAAAATACAAAAATAAAAAAATGAGACTGAGAACTCAAACAAGCGAAACGGGGAATGAGTGGCCTGGGTGGCACAGACAGATGACCGAGACAGGCGATGATGATGCTGTACTGTTTGCAGGGAGCTGGTGGGTGGCCAGTGGGGAGGGCGGCCGTTCGAGAGTTCGCAGTGAAGTTCGATCGAGGCTCTCCCCAGTCCTACTCAAAGTCGCCATGCTACACACATGTACGCATTCAAAACAAGTTTATAAGCATTAATTACGCGTAACCCCAAGCAAAAAAAAAAAGTGTACATCAGAAATTGGCTGAGTTTGCATTAGAGCAGTCTTTTTTTTTTTTTTGGTTTTTTTTTTTTTTGTCTCGTCCACCAATGGTGAGTTCTATGCGTTTTAACATCTCGCTTTGCTTGCTGCGTTGTCATTGCCGTGACCTACTTGCTTCCATAGTACTCGGCCCGCAGCTTGTTCGGCAACCATGCAACTTGAAACTCTTCGTGTGCAGGCAACTAACAAACTTTTTTGCGATTTTTTTTTTCCCTTTGTCCTTGGTCGTTTTGCTCGCTGGGTCTCTCCACACCACGCTCAGGCATACAACACAAGCCCAGGCGCAGGATACATGCAGCAGCAGGCCGGATCTCCCCACGGCGATGGCCAGGATAAGGGCAATGTAAGCAAAGCAAATGGTCGAAACGAGCAGGAAAGAAAAAAAAAGCGCGGGAAAACACACTCATGGCAAACATCTTTCGCGTTCATGTCGCGCAACTTGGCTCACCGTGATACGATACGCCTTGCTACAGGCACGTGCGAAGGGCATCACCTCATGCACAATCCGTCAAATATTGCAAATGGCACCGTCTCAAGGCAACAACTGGCGCATGGACGGCGCTGAATTCGCTGTGGTGCGTTCCCGCCAAATTCCATTTTTTGCCGCCAAACTTTTTTTTTTCTTTTTTTCTTTGCTTTGCTTTTTTTTTTTTTTTTTTTTTCGAATCGTCCTCGTTGTCCTGTGGCCATGTCCACCTTTTCATCTCTGATTCCCTTCTGAACTTGTGCATGTCGCCACGCACTTATGCTTTGCCTCCGGGTGACTCGACTTTTTTTTTTTTTTTTTTTTGGCATAGGTCAAAATCGTGGGCGTCATTCGCAGTGTGCAGGAAGTCACCTCGCACCGAACCTATCTCATCGAGGATGGTACCTCTCAAATCACGGCCAAGGCATTTGGACCCGTGAACAACGCAGACCTCCGGTGCGTCCAAAGACTAAAGTTTTTTTTTGGTTTGTTGTTTTTTGCACGCTCCAAACAAAGCGCATCGTCACCCAGTCTCTTCTCTTTTCTCACTGTGCTGTCTCTGTTTTGTTTTTGGTGTCATTCTTACTTGCTCACACACACAGCGAGGGCGTCTACGCTCGCATCACTGGTCCCGTGCGCGAATTCCAAAACGTTCGCTCCATCCACCCTGCCACCCTCCACCCCATCACCAACTTTGACGAAATCACCCACCACAGCTTGGAAGCAATCCTCACGCACCTGCAGCGGACCAAGGGCTCGTTGCAAGACCGAGCTGGCGGCGCTGGACAGCCTGCGAGCTCGCTCCTCCGCTCCCACGCACAGACCGGCGATCTCTCCTCGCTCGCGACGCAGCTCGTGACCTTGATTGGCAGCTCTCCCGATATCTCGTTTGATGATATTCGCGACCAGTTCCCGAATGCCACCCCGGATCAACTTCGGTAAGCAACTTTGCAACTCTTACTTGGTTTCACGCTTTTATTGCCTGTGTACTGACCTGCATTTGTTGTTGCAATCAATCCAGAAATGTCCTGACGGACCTGACGAATGAAGGACACGTATACACGACCCACGATGACGATCATTTCAAGTTGACCTCGGGTTAAAGCGAGGGGTGACTCTTTGTCGCGCTGCTTCGAATTGCCTTGACGAAATGATCCAATGCTCATGCGTATCATCTGCCTGCATGGGTGTGTTATTGGCTGGCTGGTGTCTCTCTGTGCGGGTGCTGCTTTTGTGTGTTTTGTGTGTTTGTTCTGTGAACTTGTTTTCTCTGGAATGAGTTTCTCGTGCGTGTAGCTGCTCTCTTTGGACGTTTGACTGTTTGAAATACAAGAATGTTGGAATGCTTTGTCATTTTCTTGCACAACAATGGATATCAGGACGATACTGGGGCACAAGAGTGCCAGGCTCGCAAGCACACAAAAGGTCACAAAGAACCCGCCAACCTGGCCAGAACTCCCAACCAAATCGCGCCCTTTTAAACATTGTCAGTTGATAAATATGTTTTTGCAAGCCAGAAACCACCGAACGAAGGAATGGGGTGAGATGTTCGACCAACAATTCGGTTCGCGATTTGGGTGAAAATTGTTCTCCAGGTTTTCGGCGCTTCCCTCCTACAAACTGGCACCACATTTGCACTATTATTAAAATTGAACAATTACACGTTAATTTCGTGTGTTGTCTTGATTTTCCTTGAGATTTGAGCACTCCGGATTCTAAACGCAACTTTGCTACGCTCTGTCAGGTATTACAATCAAACCCGCCAAAATGACTTGCTGCCGCGCTTCTTTGTTCAAACCAAAATATCCCACAAAACAGCCCGCTGCACCTCCCCACTCATTGAAAAAACATCAAGTGCATATCGAGTGAGACTCTGGATCACACGGGCTGGATTCTTTCTGAGCTGTTGACCACAAAACGACGATGACAAGTCCAACCGGACGTCATTTTGGTGCTTTTGAGCTGTGTTTTGCCCTTGTATGGTCCTTTCCGTCAAACTAAAACCCTTCTACCATTCATACAAATTTATTTTGTACCTCAGTTTTCATTTTTGACCGTCATCTCGCAAACCGTCCTTTGAATCGAGTCAAACCAAGAAAAAAAAAAAAAAGCCCCGCGAAAATGCTCGAGATTGGGGAAGTCATTCGCCGGCTCAAGCAAGAGCCTGTTGGACCAGGGACAAGCACGCTTCTCGAACTCCTGCTGCAGATGACTGAAAATGGTACGTTGCTGATTCCACCTCATCTGTTCTGCGTGGGGAGACGCGGGGACGACGGGTGGCTGGGCGAGATTTTGCCGTTCGCAGAATCTCCCGCGGTCGAGTGATCGCAGCCCGCCGCCAAAGCCAAGGGAACCAATCTCGTTCCATTTCCATCACAAGCAGTGCGCTGATGCAGCATCGAGAGAGAGAGAGAGTCAATCACTGGGTGGGATTGCGCCAGCGCACACAACCAGGAGACGACGTCGTTGTTTGATGACCAACCAAATTATTTCCCATGACACCCGGCTTTTTTTTTTTTGTTCTTTTCCCCCCACGACTCACCTGTTTGCGTCGTCCTTGACACACACACACACACACACACACTCTCTCTCTCTCTCTACTACTGCAGATTCAACCAGCAGCATACAACGGCGATCGGATGCGGGCACGCTGGGCGCCGTGGAGCGCATCATTGCGATTGCGGGCGAGCCAAACACCGACAGTAGGACGGCCAGCCTGTGCCTTGCGACGCTGCGATACGTGACGAAAGGCCACAGTAAGTCAACGACCATGTGTCCTCCCCACCGATGAGGCTTTACGTCGGTGGTTGGCGTCGCAGTTGCTCTGCTGCTCTGGCTGGGTTTTGTTTGTTTGCGGTCCCAAATTTTTCAATTCACTCACCGTTCCATTCAATTCTCTGAACGGCAGCCAAGAACATTGTTATTGCCACATCGCATGGCGCCATCGAGCTGGCCATCGAGTTGATGAAGCGGTACCCTCACGAAGCGGACATCCAGCGCTTTGCCTGCATGACTTTCCGGTCGCTCACCTTCCAACATGGTAAAAGAAGAACGAGGACACATCGAACGTGATGGATTCTATTTTGCGCTTTTTGGCTTTGTTGGCCCAATTTTGTTTTTGTGTTTATTTTGTTTTTCTGTTGCTGCATTTGGCACGACTGACATGTGGTCTCATGAAACGCTGTGGGTTGAACTTTCCCCCCCCCCCGCCTCCAACGCAACAAACAGCGGACAATCAGCGGCTTTTGATGGACTGCGGCGGAATCAATCTGGTCGTTCAAGCGATGCGCACGCATGCATCCAACTCGCTCGTGCAAGCTGCCGGCTGCATGGCTATCCAGAACGCGACCTGGCTCGTTGGTACGTGGCATTGTTCGTGTCATTGTTCGTGTTTGCGGGAGAGGTGAAAGGGGTGTGCGCGAGCGTTTTGGTTGACTCGCATTTCGCTTTGTCCCAAACAGCCGACAACCGGGTCCATCTGGAGCGCACCGGTGCCATTCCTCTAATATTCGCTGCCATGCGGAGATTCAACAACGATCCGGAAGTATTGCGCTGGGGCTGTGGCGCGCTCCAAAATCTAGCTTGCGCAGGTTTGTGTTTGTTTGTTGTTTGTTTCGTTTTTTTTTTCAACTTTCTTTGGAGCTTTTGTCAAGCGACGACATTGTGAAAAACCCTCGTCCTTATTCTCGAGGCCTGACTTGAACTTGCAGACCCTTGCTCAACGCGTCTCATTGCGTTGGGAGCGCTGGAACTTGTCACAACTGTCATGCGCGACTTCCCTCGAGATTCTCAAATTCAAGGCTATGCCCTCGGTATCTGTCGAAATCTGTCCTACTTGGGTACGAGCGCTTTGCAAGGAAGGTGCACACGAATGTTACTTGTCTTGGACTCATTGGATTGCGTATTTGTGGAGTAGAGGGCAATCGCGAAGTTGTCGGCGCAAGCTCTGTGGTGCCGCTGGCGCTCGGTATCGTCCTCGCCAATCCTCAAAACACAGATGTCGCCTTCAACGTTTGCTCGTTCTTCATCAACATGCTTGTTGGAATTCGTGAGTGACCGTTTACTGGGTTTGTTTTTTGTTTGACATGCTCGTCTCTGACTCTTCATTGTTTTCTCCGTCCACTGCTCTCGTCTGCGTATCACGTTCAGCTGTCAATGTGCAGCGAGTTCTTGCCATCCCCAACCTGCTGGATAGTCTCTTCCGCATCAAAGAGCTGTTTGCCCACCTGCCCCAGCTGACTGATAAGCTTGCACAAATATTTGACCTTCTCGGCGGAGGTATGAGGAGTCACGTTGACCCTCTTTTTGTGTGCAGTGAATGGGGAGGGGGGGGATGATAGCCTCACCAATATTCACTTACCTTTGTGTGTCTTTCAATTGACAGACCGTCCGTTCATTGCTCCTGCGCTTTCCATGCCAGTGCCAAGCCTTTTTGAACTGACGGCGCGCGTTGTCCTGCATCACGACTTGTGTAGCGCTCTCGAGCTTGCACGGGCAAGGTTGACGCCGCGCACCACCCAGCAGCAGCAGCAGCAGCAGCAGCAGCAGCCGCAGCAACATGCCGACGCGCGAGTCTCGCAAACGGCGACTGACACGTTGCTAGTATCTCACGCTGCCACCGAAATTCCAGCTGCACCGTCCTCGATGGTCTTGTCCGAATCGACGAACGACCTCATGTCGATGCAGTTGCCCTCAGAGGTCGTGCTATGCCTGGCTGGCGCCCATCGCTGCGACCAGTGCGGGCATCGCTTTCTTCCACCGCTCAATTTGCGCGCTGCCGTCAAAGCGAGTCCACCTCTCACCCGATATAACGGAGTCCGTCGATCAACGAGTTCAGACTGGTTCTTGCTCGAGCTTTGTTCGCCAAAGTGCGTCAAGGCAGCCATGCTTCATGCGGCAGAACAGAAGCCGGCCCTCGTTACGACGACCGACAACTCTGGCGAGCATTGAGGGTTGGTGATTGTACAGTTTTGTTGCTAGATGTGTGTAGGCGTTCTTGTTGAAGATTTTCAGATCTTCGCTCAGTTTCGAGTTGTACAGTGTTATTTTATTTTCTGTTGTTGTTGCTGTTGTTGTTAGTTTGAGTTGACAATCAAATACTACTGTAGATGATTTTTTTGAACTATAAGAAGGCCAAAATCATTCATCCATTCACCAGTCTATTTTATCCCTCATAGTTCAAAGTCCTAGCCGTTTCGCATGAGTGAAGCAACCTTAACCAAAGACGTCACCAGTGACGACACAATGGAGACCGCAGCACAAGCATCTTCAGCACCACCACCGCCACCGCCGCCGCCAGCGCCACCAAAGAACCTTCCTCTGACCAGCGCCACTGTGACGTCGGGGGCTGCACTGCGGGACGTGCTGCGGGAGCGTCGCTTGGTGAGTGATCCTGACATGACGACACACACCGTTGTCGGCGATTTTAGCTGACCTCAGTTTCTGCACGTCTCACCTTCGCGCTTCCCGTTCACTCACGATGATATTACGGAACTAAATATGGCACAGAATGACGATTGGACGGACAATCAGGATGACGACGATGACGCTGCAGATCCAAGCAAGAAGAAGCGTCGTCGAATTCCCTTAGTTGGGTATCTGAGTGCAGCTTCTGCCGCTAATCTGCCGCCACCAGCAGCAGAATCTGCCGCCAATCCGCCGCCCGCAGAAGCAGAAATTGGAAAGCAATATCACTCCAATGCAGACGTCGAACCACCACGACCGCCGCTGCGCGTTGTTTGCATCTCCGACACGCACGGCGAGCACTTTGATTTTTTTAACGGCGGCAGTATTCCAGACGGCGACATTCTGATTCACGCGGGAGACTTTTTCGATCATGTCGCCTACGAGAACATGGATCAAGCATTGAAGGAGCTGAACGAGTTCTTCTCGGCAGTGCCGCACCGCCACAAGGTCTTTGTCGCTGGCAACCATGAGACGTGCTTCCACCGCTACGATACCAAGTACATTCAGAAGCGACTGCAGGAGTCTGGCACTCATTATCTCCACGACTGCAGCGTCGAAATCGAAGGCATCCGCATTTACGGCTCGGCATGGAACCACTGCGTCGGCATGGGCTACGGCGCGAATGCCCAAGAACGTGCAGCCGCTTGGGACCGCATCCCATCGCGCGCGAACAATCCCAAGCCAGTGGACATTGTGGTGACGCACCAGCCTGCATTCAACATTCTAGATTTGGCCCACACCAATTCTGCCAAGTCCAACTTTAACGTCTGCAGTGTTTGCAACAAGAAGCACCCTCGATTTGCACACTGGGGTGACAAGAATCTGCGCCTGGCTCTCTTTGAGCGCGTGCGGCCGTTTGTGTTCCAATCGGGCCACGTCCACGACGACGCTGGCACCATCGAGATGGACGGAGTGCTGGTGGTCAACGCGGCCATGCAGCTTCGACGACGCGCGATTGTCTACGACTTTGTCCCTCCGCCGCCCGCCGTTCCCACGACCACTCAAGCACACGGCAAGCACCACGACAAGCAGTGCGTGATTTGCTAAAGAGGAGCTGTGTGAGTAGCGAAGACCCATTTAATGATGCAAAAATGTTCAGTGAAAATAAAAAAATGAAACAAAAAACAATATGGAAACGATACAAAAACGCAAGCGGGAACTATCTTGATTTCACGTCCATTCTGTCGTTGAGGTTTCAAAGCAAGGCAAAGCAGGGTCGGGAAATTCAGTCGAACAATCACTCTGACTTGTTGGTGGAGCCAAAAAAAGAAAAAAAAAGCCCTACCCTGACAACGCAGCCGGAATGAAACGGCGACGAGTGTCTCGTACGACGGATCCGGCGCGTGGGGCCACAATACGATCAAAGAAGGCCTTGAACATTTGAGCATTCGCCGATCCGGTTGTGAAACATGGCTCGAGGCAGCTCTGCAGCAAGCATCGAGTTCAAGACGAGACGTGAGAACACAACCACCAGCTTCCCGTTTTTTGTTTTGCAGCAACAATGCCTCCCAAAAACCACGTACCACCTCAATCACGGCCTCAGCACCGAGCTCATCTGCCAAGCTGCATCTTCGCTTGGCGCTACGCCCCGCCATTCCGCTGGACGGATTGAAGGTGCCGGATGATTTGGCGGGCTTTGCGTGTTCGCCAGTGATCTGATCGCTCTTGGTCCCGACAATGCTAATCGGGATTTTGAATTCTCCAGCGAGTCTTTCGGCATCGAGATCGAGTCCGGACATGGACCGCACGAGGCTCTTGACAGAGAACCCCGACGACGACGACGACGACGACGACGACGAGGACGAGGACGAGGACGAATTCGGCTGCCCATCATCGTCGGGCAGCCCGCGCGTAATCCCACCGGACGGGGACAACGAGAATCCAAAGCTCGAGGATGCCGTCTGACTCTGACTCGCGGATGCGGTTGACTGCGACGAGTGGGGCTGCGGCGATGACAGGACAGCCGCGCTTGCACCCGCGAGGAACTCTGAGAGCCACCGGCGCAGGTTTGTGTAGGACTTGTTGTTGCTGAGATCGTAGACGAGCACAATGCCCGCAATGTCGTTGGCGGGGTCGTAGAGCAGCTGCCGGGTGCGCTCGTACTTGGCAGCCCCGCCAACGTCCCAAAACTCAATGCAGAACGTCCGTCCGTTGCATTCGTGCAGCTTGACGTCGATGGAGCATCCGACAGTCCACGACGGCGATCGCAGGACCTCGTTGCGACATATCAGGCTCACAAGCGAGGTCTTGCCGACCCCAGAGTCGCCCAGAACCAAGACGCGCACCCGATCGCTCATGGTCCAGTCTCGAACAGCAACAAAAAAAAAAAAAAAAACAAAGAGACTGTCCGCCGCGTGTCTACAGCACTTTGTGTTTCAAACACTCAAGAACAGGAACAATGTTTGTTGATTTTGGAATGGGGTTGATTTTACAGGGGAAGGGGTGAATGGAGAGAGACAACAGGAAAGCGGGGAAAGCGCGGTTTGCAATGGAATTTATTCTGCTGCATGGGCTTCCATGGACGACGCCCCAACGGTCATGATATTGACAATACCTTTGGTGCTTTTGATGCAATGACGAGGCCTCGTTCGTTCGGCAGGTCGATCTATGGAGGGAGGAGGGGTGGCTTTTGTTTTTTGTTGTGTACGTGTCCGGCTTTCCATGGATTGGACACGATGCACTCCTTTCGCACATTCACCACGCCCTGAAACTGGGTTCGGTGCGATAGGCCCGGAGCGAACCGGAGTGGCTATTAGCGGCTTCCGAAAAGGGGCTGGGTCTGTTTGCGACAATGGCGTGTTTTTGAAAAACAACCAAATTGACCAAACCCTTTTTTTTTTCGGCACCACAACAAACAACCATCCTCATACGCCAGCACTTGTCCCTCTGTGCAACGGGGGGTCCCACTCTCGCTGCTCTGTTGGGTGCCAGTCCGCGGACTGGAGAGAGAGAGCGAGAGAGAGCGAGAGCGAGGTGAACCGGGTTGCCAAGGAGCGGTGCCAACAGCCATTGGATTTTTCCTGTGCAAAACGAAAAAACAACAACGCTCAAGCCCAACGTCATAGCAATAATAGCAATTGCCTATTAGTATTTGAACAAAACAAAAAGGGATCGTGTCCACAAACCTCACCTCATTCTTCCTTTTTCCTTTTTTTTTTTTGGTTGGGATCTTGATTCACTGACTCTCTCTCAGTCTCTCATTCCTCTGTTCCTTTTTTTTTTGCAACCCACCAGCAATCATGACTGCTGGGATGCAGCATCAACTCGGGCGTCATGGCACCGCGCCACTGCAGCTGCGTGTCATCATCGTTGGCGTGCTACTTGTTCTCGCCTCCGCATCCTCGACTGTGCAGGCCGCCACCACGGCCGGCGGTGCAGGCAGCTGCCTCTACCACTCGAGCTCGCTCAACTACAACTCGATCGGCGTCGACAAGTTTGTGGACAACTTCCCGACGACCGCCGTCACCATTGAATTCTGGTACGAACAACAAGGACAAAAAAAAAAAAAAAAAAAAAAAAAAAAGTCCCACAAAACGTCACAACAAAATCAAAAAAATCAAAAAAAATCAAAAAAACAATTCACCCTCCCCCACAACTCCATCCCGTCCTCACAGGCGCGCAGAAGAGGGGGGTCGTTGGACAATGCAACCATCGACCACACGCACACATACACACGCACACACGCATACGCACGCGGTTGGTGGTATGGAGAGCGAGAGTGTGTCACAGGGCGTGGATCTCAATTTTGTTCGCAATGCCACACCAATTCGTATTGAGTGGTTAATTGTCCTGCCACCCACCGCATGTAGAGCATTCCGCAGCGAAATGTGTGAGCAGAGGGGTCGGTCTCATCTGCACGATCAGTGTCTGTGGTTGTTTTTGTTGGCTGTCTTTGTTGTGGTGGTTTTTTCAAAGCATCCAAAAAAACCAAAAGACAGAAAGAACCAAAAAGTTGAAAAATCACAAAAAAAAAAACCCCTTAAAAAAAAACCGAGAAAAAAAAATTGGTTGCTAATCAATTCGAATTATTCGCTTTTTGTTTTTGTTTTTTTGTTTTGTTCTCGATTCTCGCTTTTCGAAACGAAACGGTTGCTCGGTCTCGGAAATGAAATGCATCGACAAAAATCAGTGGGAAAAAAGGAAAAGGAAAAGCGAGACCAGCGATTTTGAGAGAAAGCGAGGACACAAAGTGCGAGAGAGCCGTGTCTGTGTCTGTGCGTCTAATTTGAACAAAAACCCCACACCACACCACACCATTCATTCATTCATTCATCGGGCTTCGGGCTTCGGGCCGTGTGGCGAATGGCAGGATTCGAAATTGTCCAAAATGTCATTTGATTGGATGAACTTGTGTGGCCTCCAAATTGCTGGATCCAAAAAAGGGGCCACATGTCCTGACAGATGTGGGCGTTCGCGTCCAGATCCGAAAAGTCATCACCTCACACATATCTCTTTTTCCCTTCATCTCTTTTTCCCTTCATCTCATCATCCCTGTTCCTTCATCTCGTTCAAGTCACACCAAAATTGTCCTGTTTGACAGCTTTTTTCTGTTGTTGCTATTTTCCCCCTTTTCATTCTTGTGGTTTTAGATCGAAAACTCAAATTTTGGCTCAATTTTGGCTTTGGTTTCCATTTTGGTTTTTTTCCCCTCTTTTTTTTTTTTTTTTCTCTTTTTCTCTCTTTTTCCCCTTCAATCCGGCAGGGTGCGTTACCGCAACGACTTCAAGGTCGAAGGCCAGCAACAGTGCGTCATCTCAGTCGCATCGTCACAGGACGATAATGTCGTCACTTGGTCGCGCTTCCTGACCGACTTTCGGCTGTACATTAATCCATTCCTCTCCATCCCGGACGCCGTCGGCCCGATCACTGGCCCTGCGGCAGATTACAATGGCAACTGGCACCACTGGGGTAAAGGAGGAACAAAAAAACACCAAAAAACACTGTCACAGTTCTATGAAACTCACCCACTTGAACATTTTCGCGTTTTCTTTGCTTCTTCCTTTGTTCCCAACTCTCTTAGGCCTCTCATTCAACGTCGCGGACGGTCGCACAATCTTGACCTACGACGGCAACGTCCTGTACAACAACGTGTCGGCGGCGCGCGCGAGTATTCCGCTTCCCAGCACTGTTGCGTTTGTCCTGGGTCAAGACCAGGACGCGTACTATGGCGGATTTGACTCGACGCAGGCTTTCGTTGGCATGATTGACGAGCTCCGCGTGTGGAAGGTGGCGCGTACCCCTGCTCAGCTCGCCGATAACAAGAACTTGCACCTGGACGCAATGGCCACCCCCGACCTTTGGGGTGCCTGGTCGTTCGACGAAGGCAGCGGGCCTCTTGCCTACAACGATGTTGCCATCCCTGGAGGATACAGCGCTCCCTACCATCCCGTCAAACTCGGTGGATTCTCTACGAGTGCTGCCAGCGGTTGCGACGGCGACGATGCCACCTCGCGCACTCCCCTGTGGGCAGATTCCACCGCTCCAGTGGTCGGGTCGGGCCCAGTTCGCGTCCGAGTCTCCCCGACCATTGCCAAGCCAATCACCCTCGGAGCACACTCCACCCTCGGCTCCTTCACTCTGGCCGTTGGCAGCTACGGAGGCGCCTGCCCCAACCTCCTGCTCTATCGCGATGCAGCTTGCACCAACCTGATTGCCACCTCTGGCGCCGCTGTTGCTTCGTCCACCATTTATGCCAAGTCCTCCGCCGGCTTCTCGGGCTGCGCCTTCTCGTACACTGTCACGGACGCCGACAACACGGCGACCGGCTATGTGAACGTGTCCGTCAACCATGCTCCCACGCCCATCACCCAGACCATTTCGGGTGCCGAAGACTTGTCTGTGCTTCGTGTCGGACTCACAGGCACCGACGTTGATGGCGATCTTACCAGCACGTCGCGCATTACCCAGCTTCCCGCACACGGCTTCCTCTACACGCTCAACAACAATCTGCAGCGAGGGTCGCGCATCACGTCCGTGCCGTTCGTCCTTCCCACTGAGGCCGGCGGTGTCCTCTACTCCGCTCCGCTCAACAGCTACTCGACCGACTTTGACTTCTTCACTTACGACGTGGCTGACATGAATGGTGCTTGGTCCAACTCTTCCGCTACTGTTCGCATCAGCATTTCAGTCGTGGCCGATCTCCCGAAGGCCGTTCCAAACCCGTTCATGGTGACTTATACGGGCGTCGAGTACATGACCGTCCGGGACATTGGCATGAACTCTGTGGTGTCCTGGACTGGCGGCTTTACCATGGAAATGTGGATTTCAATGACCACCGCCCCCACTGGCCAGCCGTACATTTTGATGGGCCCTGCTCTGGCCAGCACCAGCTCCTCTAGCTTCTCGTTCGAGATTGTGAGCGGCTCGCTTTTGGCACTGCGGCATCTTGGATCGGTGGTGGCAGTGCAGACGGTTGGCACCGTCCCGCTGAACGTTTGGTCGCATGTGGCACTGTCGCTCACTGGCTCGTCCGCCAATCTCTATCTCAACGGTAATCTGGTCGGCACCGCCGTATTGGGCTCAACTCTGTCTTCTGTGGCAACCAGTGGCATCAGCATTGGCCAGTATTTTGTCGGCAGCCTTGACGAAGTGAGAAGGCTTTTTGCACTCTTCTGTTTGTTTTTTTCCTGTTTTCTGCCGTTGCGTTTGTCTGACCCAATTTTTGATTCTTTGTATGCGTGCCTTCCTTTGACGTCGACAGATCGCCCTTTGGAACACTTCGTCGCGCATGACAGCCGATTTCTTCCTGCTAGAGAAGGTTTCTAGCACGCGTCGACCCAATCTCGTTGCCGCATGGCCTCTGGACGCTGGTATCGGCATGACTGCTTTGTGCTTTGGCAACTCATACTTTGGCTGCTCGTCTACCGCTTTTTTCGGCAACGGTACGTCGAGCCCACCACAGGCTTTTGTTTGTCGGCTTTCACAGCCTCACTTTGTGGTTGCTTTCCCTCTTGCTCGGTCGCTCTCCTCTTCCTTTCAGGCTCGCTGTCGGCTGCACCTCTGTGGGCGGACAATCCTGGCGCTCTCGTTCCGTCCTTCCCCAATTTCGGCACCGAATTCATCGAGGAAGACACTGTAGGCGCACTGGCTAATTCGATCGTTGATTCTTGGAGCCGTGTCTTGCGTTTTGTTTTTTTTGCTCACGTTACTTTATTTTTCCTTGGCTGGTAGGAGCAAATCATTCGCTTGTCGTCGACGGATGTCGACTCTGAGAGCCTCATTGTTGGCATTGTCGTCACCTCCCTGCCGACAAATGGCAAGCTGTACCAGTACGTTGACAATGGTGGCGGCGCCTACTCCCGTGGACCGCTTCTCGACTCGTACAAATACTGGGTTTCAGAGCAAGAGCCCGCGAAAACGTGGGTTGAGCAGGTGGCGCACCAGCCTGGCGTGACTGTGCTTGGTGTCACCGGCGATACCAGCCTCAAGTTCAGCACACAGTATCTCGGCTCCACCTATGGTGTTCTGGCGCTGGTCGGTGGTCCTTCAGCCTACAATCCTGGCGTAAGCATTTGATCTTTCCCTTTTGTTTTTGTCCATTGTCGGTTGAACGCCTGTTGTGTTCATCTTGTTGCTCCTCCACGCCAATGCACAATAGGTTCCGAACGGTGGCTACGGTGATACTGCTACGGCTTGGTGTCCTTCCACCACTGGAGACTACAACGCGGTGAAAAACAGACCTTGCTTGGTCAACTCCTTCAACACTGTGTCCAACCCATTCAACTTTACCTGTCCCGCCAACCAAGGCAACGAGTATGTCGAAGTTCGCATGGGCGAGTCACTCGTACCCCACAGCTTTGCTGTTTACGAAAACTATTGGCCTGGTGCTACGACAAAGGTGTGTACTGAATTTGACCTGCTGAAAACAACAACAACAACAACAAAATGTCTCACAATCGACCCGACATTTGTTTTGGAATTGGTAGATTTCCGCGCGCCACGAGCCCACCAATACCTGGATTCCAGTGTGGGAGGCGCCTGCGCGCACCGAGCTCTATGACAACCTCGGCAATTACATGGCGGGCTCGTATGTCGTCTTCCAGCCGCAAGCTTGTCAGCCCGCATGGACGGCTGATGTCTACCGCGTAGAGATTGCAACGCACCTGATTCCTGGATGGAATGAAATCGACGCCCTCTCCATGACTGGCGTGCCGCTCGTTCGCGCGGGTGTCGTCAACGATCCGCTTGGTCGCCTGATCTTTGTTCCTGATGCCGACTTTGATGGCGTCGATCAGCTGTCCTTTGCCGCTTCGGACTGTCTGCCGTCCCTTGACCGCCAGACTGCTGATCAGGTGCTGACGCTCAACGTCGTTGGCACGAGCGATGCTCCTGTGCTCACACCCACCAACTTTGATGCGACGGTTGGAAGTGTGCTTGCCATCCCGCTTCCCGTGTACGACCCGGACTCGTCCGACGTTTTGCACTTCAAGTTCAACACGGTGCCTTCCGTCGGAACCCTGTTTGTCACACACAACTTGTCCGACACGACCTTTAACGTCAACTCTACGTCCACCACGACCATCACCGCCGGCACCGTGCTTGTTGCCAGCCCGCAGTCTGCTCGCTCCCTGACCGTGTTTTATTCTCAGGCAGACCAAGGCTGCGTCTCGACACAGTTTGCCTTTACCGTGAGCGACAATGCTTCCCGCGCAACTGCAACTCCGTACGCTCCTGCCGTGCAAGTTGAAATCAACTTTGCCTGTCCGACCGTGAATACCCAAAGTACGGTTGTGCGGCGCGTTGATGTCCTTGGTGGTGGTGGTGGTGTGTGTGTTTTTTCATTTTTCATCAACGCTCACTCTGCTGCTTTGGTCTCCGTTTGTTTGTTTGCGTCGATGATTTATTATTTTAGCTGCATATGCCGATTCGGATGGTGCTCGCTACTTCTTTGTCGTGCTCGCCGCGATCTTCATTTTGATTGCATTTGGCTTTTTGCTGTTCCTGATGCGCAACTGGTCGTCTCGCATCATTGTCGCATCGTCACCGACATTCCTCGCTCTGATTCTGTTCGGCGCGTTGCTTTCGTATGTCTGGATTTTCCTCGCGGCGCCAACTCCGACCGACGCGCTTTGCGCTGCCATGCCTTGGGTTCGCCATCTCGGCTTCTGCTTTGTCTTTGGGGCTCTCTTCTTGAAGACGTATCGGTATGTTTTGTTTTGGTTCAACTTCATTGGCCTTTTTTTTCTTCTTCTAGGTTGGTTGTTTTCTTTCTTTGTCGCGGACTTTTCCTGTTCCTCACGTTGCGTGCTTTTGCTTTTTGCCCCTCCCCCTTTTTTCGACTTCTCTGACTTCGACCTCATGTTGCAGCATTGACCGTATTTTCAACAACGATGCAATCAAGCGCATCCGCATGAAGGACACGGTGCTCTTCCATTACATGTTCCGCATCGTCCTCATGTTTGCACTCTACCTGGCGATCTGGACTGGCATTTCGCGACCCATCTCGGAAGTTCGAGTGGATATCACGTCCGACCAAACCAATCAAGGCGTTTTCGTCACGCAGCAGCTCGTCCCCAGGTGCTCATCCAACTGGTTTGACTCGGCCATCCTGATTGTCGAGCTGATGTTCCTGATCTGGGGTCTGTACCTCGCAATCAAGGTTCGACACACGCCAACGGCATTCAACGAGTCCAAGTACATTGTGGTCGCCGTTTACAACTTTGTGTTTGTGGCAGTCGTGCTCCAAATCATCCTGCAAACCGCCATCAAGGACCGTGACATTGCCTATGTCCTCGAGTCCATCTATGTCATTTTCACCGTGTCGGCTGTCGTTTTGCTCATCTTTGTGCCCAAGGTGTCCCTTGTTCGGAATGGCGGCATTGCCGAAACTCGCGAGTCGTACACGCACACTCACTCGGCCCCGAAGCAGCAGACAATGGACAAGCAAGTCGAGATGATTGACAGGCATCGCAGCACGGGTCACAACAACAGCACCAGTCATCACAGCAACAACGAATCCGACTTGGAAGTCGGCACGACCACAGTTCAACCCGCCCCCAAGACGGACAACATGCTGCGCAGTGAAAACAAGCGTCTCATCCGAGAAGTCGAAAGGCTCAAGCAGGATCTCATGACACTTGGAAATCGTCACTTGGCAACATCCACAGCACAGCGTTAATGCATTTTTATGTTTTTATTGCTGTTTGGGTCTGTACATTTCATTTTTCGTTTTTTTTTTCCCATTGTTTTTTCATTTTTGTTTTTGTTTGTCGGTTTCCTAAAAAATGTCGGTTAGCATGCTTTTCGTTCGTTTCGGTGTGTTCTTGTTGTACAATGGTCAATGTATGGTTTGACAAAATAGAAATATTTCAACGATCGAGGACATGTCCGCTTCTTTTGAATTTGTTCGAAAAGGGGATTACATTTCTCTTAGCCTTTCTGCGAGTTGCAAATGAGATGACGTGAGTCATTCGAAAAAACACAAACACAACAAAGTCATTAAGCGAAAAAAACAAAAAAAAAAAAAAAAAAAAACAAAAACAAAAAACAAAACAAAAACTCAGGTCAGCAAAATCATTCGATATTTTTTTTCTTGTTCGCTTTGCTTCTCTTTCGGTCTTGTTCGCTTGTGAGTTTCTCGGCCTGACAATGCACTCTGTGTCATCGTAGTCCTCACCAACTCTTGTTCCTGCGGATGAGACAAGCATGAGGCATCTGGCTTGCATAGCATTGAGGACATGTTGTTGGGGGTCTTTTTTTTTTTTTTTCTTTTTTTTTTTCGTTTTTTTTGAGCTGGTTCTAAACATGACGAAAAAGTTCGCTGACGCTGCGACAACCGCCCATTGCTTCGATAGCAAATACATGCCATATGGCTTAGTGATATTGTGGCGAGACGGAGGAGTTGTTTGCGTGCGTGCCGGGTGGCAGGGCGCGAGTTCTCGGTTTCGCTCGTTTTTGCTGAAAACACATTGATTCAGCCCGTGGACACGCCCTAATCCCGCTGAGCGGTAGAACAGCGCTGCCGTCCCGCCACTTTCCCCCATCAATAACATCAGATGTAGTTTACCATAATTTCAAGCAGGGGAGCGAATCAGAGACCTGTCGGTTGACGAGTGACTCAAAGAAGCAAGGGGCGTGAAAACAAAAAAAAAATTCTGCGGCGCCTTCTTTGTTTTTGTTGCTGTTGCTGTTGTTGATGTGCACAAGGTTCCTGCAGGACATGCTTCATGTAGTTGACCTGCTATTTCGCATTATTCAGGTGATGACACCGGCTGCTCTCCTAGTTTTGCTCGCCGTCGCGCTCTCAGCAGCAAGCCCATGTTTGGCGCTCATGCCCGCCATCGTGGGACGACGCACCGTCAGCACGTCGACTATGCCGTACGCGCTTGCCTTTGACCCGACGACGAGTTCCGTGATCGTGCGCGAATGGGCCGCGTGCTGGTTGCTGGATCACAATCTAACTTCCCAGAATATGGTCGCGACGATGGTCAAGGGAGGTGCTCGTGTCTCTGCTGTCAACGGCGAAGTCATTGTCGGAGGCGGGATTGGGCAAACTTCAATGCCCGCTGACGCTACTCTGGCGCAATGTGGCGCAACTGACACGGTGGGCTACGACGAACCCAAAGGCTGTCTTCAGCGGTATGGGAGTGTGATGTTTTCTGCTGTTGCTGTCATGCTCTACAACTGACCCGTGGCTTCCCACCTGGACAGATTCAACGGCGCGACCCTGTCTTCCACCGGCTATGTATCTACCACCATGTACGCCGTACAAGGCTACGAAGGCTTTGGTGGAGGCACCCGACACACCGATGGAACGTACTTTGCATGTGGCGACGGCGCAACAGCGTCGTGGGATCCTGATTTCTACTACTTTGTCGCGCGATACGACGCGAGTATGAGTTTGATGTCGCGAGTCATGGAAACTGGACAGGACTGGTCCAGCCCCGCGAATGGTCACTCATCGCACTGCAACGCCATTGTCTTCTTTGGCAACAGTGTCTTCATTGCCGGTCAGGCGCGCTCGACCGGATTTGGAGACACTGGCGATCAGCTTACCCCGTACCTCGTCAAGTACGACCTCCAGCTGCAGACCCGGGCGTGGCGCTGGCGGATGCAGCTGCCGGCTCTGACGAGCTTGTCGGATGTGCAGAGCATCTTCACCGTGAACGACACTGAAACCTCGCGTTGCAAAATCTACCTGTCGGCAGCGAAGCAAGGCGTCGCTTGGCTCGGGCGTCTCGACTGCGAGACTGGCGCACTTGACTGGGAGACTGAGGTACCCAACGTGCAGGACGCAACGTTAACCGCGGCTGATCACCCGGTCTGGTTCTTGGCGTTCGGCACGTTTGCGAACGTGGGTTTGCAAGCGCTCGCCTTCAACAAGTCCTCGGGCGCGCTCCTCTTCACGACTTTGCTTGACGCCGCCGTCCCATCCCCACCACTGCAGGGTCGCGGGACGGCCTTTGACATGGCGACGCGGAGCATCTACTTGCTTCGGACAAACGCGACAGTATTCGAAGTCTTGCGTCTTGGCTTTTGCGGCGCGGGAGAAATCGTCGGGGCTGGCGGCACGTGTACGCCACACCCAGCAACCGTCGCATCAGTCGCCTCTGCTGCGTCTGCTGCAACGGCTGCTTCACAGGCCGCGTCTACTGCGTCTGCTGCATCTGCTGCTTCGGAGGCCGTCTATGCTTCAGTCCAGTCGGCCTCGTCGGCAAAGTCAGTATCCATCGCCGTTGCAGAGTCGTCTCGGCTGGCCAACGCACCGCGCGACAATGGCAGTTCCCCGGGTGCTGCAATCGGCGCAGCAATCGGCGGGGTGCTGGCCGTGATCGTCGTCGTGGTGGCTGTCGTGCTTTTTCGGCGTCGTCGGCGCGCGGGCAAGGAAGGCGACCGCTTCGTCGAACTCGCGACCCGCAGTGCCGTGTCGATGCAGGACAAGCCATCGACGCTCTCCGCGACCGATGACAGCGAAATGTACGCGCGGGTTGCTTGCCCACGCCCATCTGTGGCAGACAGCCCCATTGAAGAGGTCTCAAATGTGTCGATCGCCGCCGAGCGCATCTATGACACCAGCTCCCCACACAGCCGCTCGATTCGGAATGCCTTGGTCTTGGGCGCCGAGCTCGGCAAGGGTGCGTTCGGCGTGGTTCGCGCCGGCCTGCTGGCTCACACGTCCGTCCCACCTGCCGCGGCTCAGCTCGTCAATCCCAAGCACCCCGGACTGCAAGTCGCTGTGAAGGTGCTCAAAGAGGGTGCCGATGGCAAGTCTCGCCGCGACTTTGTCGCCGAGGCGCGAATGATGAGCCAGTTCGACAATTCGTGCGTGGTGCGCGCCGTCGCTGCGCTCCTTGAGGCCGAGCCCAACATGCTTGTGCTCGAGTTCATCCCGTACGGCGATCTGCGCGGTCTCCTCGTCAAGTCGAACGAAACTGGCATGCCTTGGACCCTCGCCGAGTCTTTCCACGTCCTGGCGCAGATCGCCGACGGCATGGCCTACCTCGAAAGCATTCGATTTGTGCACCGTGACCTGGCGGCCCGCAACTGTCTTGTTGGCGCGGGCCTTTCCGTCAAGATCTCGGACTTTGGTTTGTCGCGCGAGCTCGGTGACGAGAAGAACTACTACAGGGTCGAAACCAAGGGCCAACTGCCAATCAAGTGGATGGCGATCGAGTCCATCCTCTTCCGCAAGTTCTCCAGCCAGTCCGATGTGTGGTCGTTCGGCGTCGTGGCCTGGGAGGTCTTCTCCTATGGCCAGGTGCCCTATGGCGCCAAGCGGGGGCCCGACCTTCTCGTGTTCTTGGAGAGCGGGCGGCGGCTTGAGCAACCGGCGACGTGCCCAGCCGACGTGTTCTCAACCATGACGAGGTGCTGGGACGCAGAGCCAGCACAACGCCCGCGCTTCACCGAGCTTTCGGCTTTCTTTGTCTCGCAGCGTCAGGATGGGTCTGTTCGCGATATTGGCCAGATGCTGATGTGAAGGTTATCCAAGGCAACGAACATGTGCCGGTGTCAAAAGTTTTGGTCGTCCACCTGCATCCCAATGCAACTTTGTTCTCTATACTTTTCGTCTCGTTGTCTCTGCATTTAGTTCCCAACCACGCTAGGCATTTGCATCACCAACGCTCGTCATTTCAAACACCATGCACTCAATTTTATTGACCAAAGCGCAATACTGTGCGCATAGAGATAGCAGGCCTCAAAGAAGAGTTTCAGCTGATGTTTTCACGAAAAAGCTTGGCTCAATGATGACGGTGGGCAAAATGCGCGTGACTGGTTGCAGTGCGAGTTTGATCGAACGACAACAACGAGCTGAGCGTGCTGACAGAGCGCATGAACTTGTCAAACTCGTGAAGCTCAACCTCCGCAGCTCCCAATCGAGATTGCTCAAACTGAGTACTAATGGCTCGCGCAACACCAGAATGGCTCGCCAGCGGCGGCGCATGTTGGCAAAGCGCCTGCAAATAATCTCGCCACGATTCGCCGGGACGTTTCGTCAAGGACGCGTCGTATGTGGCCGCAATCTCGGCTAACACAAACAAGAAAAACAACCATCACATGCAATAAACCCATCAAGCGCATATAGAAAGCAAGTGAGATGCCAGTGAATGAACGAACACGCAACACAAACAAACAAACAAACAAACAAACAAAAAAAAAAATAACAACAAAACAAACAAAACAACTTTACCCAGCGAATCGAGCGCACGCGCCATATCTTGCTGATAATTTTGCTCAATCATGTTGCCTTGGTCGTCCGCTGCAAATTGGCGCCCATGCGATGGTTCCGCGATGAGTTGACCAGCAAGTTCGAAAACTGCAAAAGCACACAAAATCACAAACCCACCGACTAAACGCCAGCCTGGATTTCTTGAAGCGTGATGTGGTTGCGGTTCAATCTTGGTGGCAGCTGTTTCTTGCAATGCTGCTATTACGAATTGGGTTTCAAACTGTTTCACAGCAGAACGTGTGCAGAAGTTGAGCACGAATCCATCCACTCAAAACAGAAGTTGAGCACAAATGCGATAACAAAGTCGACAAAGCGAATAATATCAAACTTGCACTTGTTAAATCGCCCCATGCGAGTGGCATACACCGCTGAGGTGCTCGCTGTCGAGAAGCGAGGCGTTTGCGTTGTCGGTACGCCCATATGAAGACAATGAAGAATCCCTAGAAGAAAAAAAAACAACGCAATGCAGCAGCAGCAGCAGCGGAATCGGTCAGTTCAAGTCAAGTCAAGTCAACAAACGAACTCGAGCCTGCACACACATGACTTGCTGGGTCAACGCACGCACTCACCAGGCTCGCGTAGATGGCAATGATGGAGACAAACAGGACGCTGTTCTCCGCCGCGTCCGCCATTCGCCGCCCTCTCGTTCAACGCCCACCGCCACAGAGGCCAGGCGCGACTCTACCAGCAGGGTGCAAGTCGAATGTGACGGTGCCAAAGCGAGCCCCAAGCGGAAACCAGTCAGTCGGTCAGTCAGGTCAGGTCAAGCGAGGTCAGGTCTGTTCAGTCAGGGTTTTCGCCCCCCGCCCCGTTCAGTTCGGTTCTGATGACGGATGGACTGTTGGGGGGTTTTCTGAAAGTAGACTGAAAATGTCACATACCACACAAAACAGCCATAGTGAATTTTTTGATTTCACGGTGGACTGCACTTTGTACTGAGATTGAGCCTTCTGTCGGGGTTTCCAATCTTTATGCTTCAATTCGCTCAGTCATCTCACGCTTGCTTGCTGCTTCAAATGAAAATTCATTGAGTTTGATTCGGTCTTTTATTGTAGCGCTGCTTTGTCACTTGACGAGCTGACCGCATGTTTCACTCACTCGTGGAAGAGGTTTTGGATGTGTGCATTTGCCAAATTCTGCAACACAGACAAGCATTGAGGTCATGCAGTGACGCATTGGCTGATGATATCGAACATTGCGTGTATGAGGTACACGTCTGCATATGCGAGTGTGCAGTGTGTTCAACTGCTGCAAAAAACCAGCTGAGATTGAAATGAAACGCACTTGAAACGCACAAAAAACCCCAAAAACTGACGCAAAACTGACGTGTTTCCAAGAAAAAGAACGAAAACACAAAAGTTCAATGGTTTTTCCATGAAAAAAAAAAAAATCGTCCGTTCACGGATTTTTTTTTTTTCGTTTCCTGTTCTTTTCCGCTTTGTTGTCCTGCAGTTGAGTGATTGGTGGACTGCTGAAGGAAATGTGCAGCATCACGTCTTGTGATTTTTGTGTGTGGTTGGGGAAAGTTAACCGCCGAGCGTGTTGGCGGTGAACAATCGTCTGTTTTCGCTGAAACGTCCTGACTTTGACTTTCCGCGAAATCCGTCTCGTCACGTTCGCTTCAAAAGGGACGTATTTTCCGCTTTCGGTTGTTCGTCAGTTCTCATTTTTCACTTGCAACTTGAATATCCTTCTTTGTTTTCTTCTTCAACCTTTCCTTCCTTTCTTCCTTTCGGTCTTTTTCGGCTTTCTTTGACGCTCTTGCTTTCCTCGAGCTCTTTTTCCACTTCCTTTCAGGTCTCCTGTTAACGTTCAGCTGGTCTGAGCGCTTTTTTTCAGTGACTCGTCTTGCTCAAAGAGGATACTTTCATTCCAGGCCAGACCCTCGTTTGCTCCCACGACATCCCCTTGTCTTCCTTCCCATACTTTCCGTTATTTTAGAGGTTTGAACCTTTCCGCCCTTTTTTTTTTTTTCCCCCCAAGATGGATTCCGACCTTTTATATCTTCCCTCCCCCGACGTGCAGTCCGACAACGCATGGGTGCTTGCCGATGCTCCAACATCCCCTGCAGTGTCGGTATTGAAGGATGCTCAGTTGCTGTCGTCGTCCAAGAATGGCATGGCATCTCCTACCGAATCCGAAACTTCCTCTCCGTCGCCCCTGTCGGCATCGCTGTGCGATTCCAGATTCATTTCCCGCGTCAAAATGTAAGGCATATGTGACTTGTTGTTGGTCATGTTTCCCTCATTTCATGATAGGCCTTGCGGGAAAGGAGGGAACGGAAAAGCCGGCAAAACAGTCGGCGTTGATTCTTAAATTTGCGGGGTCTTCCTTCTTCCTCCCCACGCGCAAATTCAACCCGGTTTCGCTGGGGTTTTCGGCGTTCCTTCCTCTGAGCTCTTTATCTCGTCGCTGTACTCGTACTCTGTCCCATAAGCTTCCTCTTCGCAACTTTTTGACTGCTTTGACTGCCTTGTTTGTTTTTCACTCATTTTCGCCAACACCCTGGTTGTTCCCTTCTCGTCCTCCTCCTTCAGGGACGTGTCACTCGAACTCCGTCAGGTGAAGTGCCGCAAGTCTGTCACGAACGCCGATCCCCGAAAGCTCAAAGTCTTTTTGGACCGAGTTTCTCCAAAGTCACCAGCTCCGGCAACCAGTGGGGCCGGTGCCAGTTCCGCCAACCCCAAGGATGCCCCGTCCAATGGCGCTCATCGCCGAAGCCTTGTTGCACGCGTGACCAAAACGTTGGCTCGGCAATCCGGCGTTCAAGACACGAAAGCTCAGCTCGGCCAAGCGTGGCGCGGGGCAGTCAAGCAACCCGCTCCTGCGTCTGCAGGCGACCAAGCCGATGCGGTCGACTCTGAATCCGAGCATACAGACGACGACGACGACGACGACGACGACGACAGTGCCGAGGAAGTTATCGAAGCCGTTGTTCCGCCTGCTCCAGTTGTGGCGCGACCTGCCACCGCGCGCACGCCGAGCGCTCGAGGCGCACCCGCACCGTTGGTCTCCAGCACCGCGTCACAGTCTTCGCAGCGGACTGGATCTGCCCGCGCCCAGCTTGCGGCCATTACCACCGAGGTGCTTGGCTTGGTCAATCTGCGCCCGGTCTCCCAGATGCTGGCCAACGCCCAATTCCGCGATCAACTCGAAGTCGCCATGCGCGCCAACCCGACCGCCCCAACGTCGACCTACAGTCCCGTCTTCCCTCGCCAAGCGGTGTCAAGCCGCCCTGTTTCCATCAACTCCCCTGAAGACGCCTTCCGTCAGGTTCGCATGCATTACAGCACTTCCAATGATGCGGGCACGACCAATCGCAACGCTGCAGCCGCAACTTCTCGCCCTACCCGTGCTCTGGACGATGATCAGCACCAGCTGGACGACGCTTTCGAGCATGTCAACCTTTCCGACCTCGACGGCAGCGAGGAGCACGTTCGAGCGCCCATTCCCGCCTTCATGGACAGGATGGTGACGGACACGATGGAGGAAGACATGGACAATCTTATGCAGTGGCGCCGTGTGACCTCCTTCTTGGAGGATGACGAGATGCGCAACCACTTTGAAAGTCACCTGCTCCGCCACGTCGAGCGTGCCGGAATCACGCGCCGCAGCGAAAACCTGGTTGCCGGCGGCCGCTCCCGTCGCCCTCGTGTGGTCCACAACAATGCTGCTGGAGCGACTGCTATTGCCAGCAACAACACCTCCAACGGCTACAACGGCAGCAATGCAGGAGGCGCATCTCTCTCGGCCCAAGTCTCTGTGACGCGCTCCACCGAGGTTTCAAGTCCGAATGCTGGTGCAACCCATGGCAAACTGGTCAGTCTCGAGGCTCAGCTCACGCACTTGCAGCACCACGTCAACGACCTGCGGCGCATGATGAAAATCCAGTGCGAGTTGCAAGCTGACATGCAGCGGGCCATCCGCCAAGAGGTAGCTGCACTTCTTCATGGTTACAAGGAGGGCTTGTCGCCTGAATGTATGCAACCTGTTTTTGTACTCTGGGAATGGTGCTGGTAGAGTTTTATGCAGTGTTCTCACTCTTTCTAACTTCGACTTGGACTTTTGCTTCACAGCCGCTGCCAAGAGCGTCGACTCTGTCGCCGTGGCCAAAGGAAACTGCGCCGTGTGCTTGGAACAGCCCATTGACAGTTTGCTGTACGGCTGCGGACACATGTGCAGCTGCCACGCTTGCGGACTGTCGCTCAAGATCCAAGGCAAATCGTGCCCAATTTGCCGCGCACCTATCAAGGACGTTGTTAAAGCGTACGTGGCGTCCTCTCTGTGAGCGTTAGTCGCAGAGTATATTGGAAGGTTGTTTTTTTTTTTTCAAAGTCTGGTTTCTCTCTTTGTGTTGCTGGTCGCTCGATTTTTGTATTGTTCGCCTCTTTTTTTTCCTGGTTTTTTCTTCAGTCCATCGTTGCTTGTTGTTGTACCTGCACATATCCTGTATCGTTCATCATTTTGTTTCAAAAAAGAAAAAAAAAAGGCAGCAACACCCGAGGTTTGACAAGATCCAGCCGAAACGATAGTTGCATTTCCAATCCAGATCAAACAGGCACCACACACACACACACACACAAACACACACACACACACACACACAAACACACACAATCACACAAAACATCCTCTCAATCAATTAATTACGCCATCCGGGCATCAGCAACAACACGCCAAGTCTCATCTGAGGTCTCTTTAAGGTTCTCATAGGTCTGGTAACAAGCAGACCGAAATCATCTCAGTTACGATTGATTGGCATTTGGCGCAAAGTTGTCAAGCCCGAGGGAAGCCCAGCCTTGGGGTTGGGCTTGGGACTGGGGCAGTTGCATGGCAGCAAAGCTGTTTGACAAAGCGGGCACCGCAGGCTCAGCGGCCGGGACGTGGGGAGCCACAACTTCAGAGTCCCAGTCAATCAAGGAAGCAGCAGCAGCAGGTGCGGGCGCCTGGTAGGACTGCGGAGCAGCAGCGGTCGACGCTACTGATTGTGGCCGAGGAGGCATGGCTGGCTGAGGGCGCTTTGGCGGAGCAGCAGCAGCAGCAGCAGCAGCAGCATGAGCAGCGGCAGGTGCAGCACTCGTCGAGGAAGCGGCAGTGGGAGCCGGAGGACGCTTTGGAGGAGCGGGGCGCGCAGGCGGAGCGGCTCCAGAGGCTTGAGAGGCCGGGCGGGCAGGCACGACGGGCGTGGGGCGAGCCGAGCCGCTGGAAGGGCGCGCTTGCGCAGAGCTCTGCGAGAAGCTGGCCAAGTCCGAGTGTGCTCCTTGCGTTGCAAGACCAGGCTCATCGCCAGGCTGAGGACTGTCGGCTTCCTTGTTAAGATCGGTAATCTGAAGGTAATCATGGGAGGCATCGTCCATGTCATCGTCAAAGGCCAGCAGGGCCGATTCTCTCGACATGGTCGAGGTGAGCGAATTTCGCGATGAGGACGAGCCCACGACGGCGTCAGATTTGGCGGGGCGGTGCTTGCTGGCGACATGCGACGACTTGAACGCCACACGGACTTCTCGTCCAGCAATGGTTTGACGATCGACCGCCAACGCACGCTGGGCAGCGTCAGGATCGCTGAACGAGACATACGCCACAGAGTCTGTTACTTGCGCGGCAATAATGTTACCGTACGGGGCAAACAGGGCAGCAACGTCCTCCTCGCCCAACGAAGGGTCGATGGGCCAGACTGCAAGAATCACGTCCGTCACACCGATCGTCTTGAGCAACTCTGTGCGCAAGCGCTTCTTGGCCTGCTCGTTGAACTGCTTGAGCGTAAGATCGAACGTGGCATAGACAGGACGGTGGTCGGAGCTCTTCAGCTCTGCGCGGTTGTAGGTGAGCACGTCGACGTTCTCGCCTCGCCAAAGGACGCGATCGCACCACGCCGGAGCACGGGCCTTCTCGCTCGTGTCGAAAACGTCGCTGTAGAGATCGTACTTGTAGGTCGGAACGAAGATGATGGGGGCCTCGACAAAGCCCGCAAAGACAGCGCCATTCTCGCGCTGAATGCGCAGCTGGTCGGCCTCGTAGAGGGTGGCCAAATCGCCATTCTTGACGCATCCTTCCACCTCTTCTTTTGGCAGGTCGATGCGATAGTTGAAGTCGCCAATCCAAAAGACAATGTCGTGGTTGTTGATGACACGGCCCTTGCCGAACGACATGCGCGACATGATGTCGGCATAATCCGAATTGCGCTCAGTCACGTTCGACTGGCCTGCAGCAAGGTGGGCGCACACAAAGCAAATGGAGGTCGAGTACATGCGGAAGCGAATGGCAACCGCGCCCTTGTTGCCGGCGTAGCCGCCAAAGCCCGTCTTGTGCTTGCCGATGACGACGTCGCGTACGTGGCTGATCGAGTCGGAGCGAACAAAAATGCAAAGACACACACCGACCAGCTGCTGCGAGACGACCAGCGCGTACGAAGCTGGCTGGCCGTTCGGGAAGACGGACGAGTTGATCGTGTCCTTGATGGCCTTTTCCCACGCGGTGCGGTGCGAGTCGTCCGCATTCATAATGTTGCCAGCTGTGAGATCGACAATTTCCTGGAAACCGACGGCGTAGACGTCTGGTGGCATCTCGCCGGGCGGAACAATGAGCCACGAGTGGAGCGCCTCTTCGCCAGCACGTTTGCCGCCGTTGACATTCCACGTTCCCAAGAAAACACGACCACGTTGGTACGTCGTAAACTCGTGCTCGCGGCCTCGCATCATTTCAACCAGCTTGCGCTGGGTCGGGTCGGTGCCGTGTCCGGCGTCTGCCAAGAGTCGATCCGTGCGGTTGCCCAGGAATAGGTCGATGGCATCTTGTTGGGAGCCGTCCAAAAAGTTGTTTTGCACTGCGCGGGAGACGGACTTTTGCAGATCGCGCATCTTGCCCATGGCCGTGCGCTTGCCCGTCTTGGCAATGTCGGACTTGAGCGCGCCGGTGCCTGCATAGCAGTGCGAAATGGCGTCGCCATTCTTAATCCACAATCCACGACCAGCATCGTCAAAGCGCGACCACAACGAGTCGAGTGCAACGCGGGAGAGCTGGAGCTGGAGGACGCGCATGGCAATGGTGGCCTGCAGCACGTTCGTGCGATCGAGACAGTCAAGGCAGTTGGTGCGAACGACACCACTCTGGGTGGACACGACATTGTTAAAGACAATGCCCGGTCCGCGCTGGGCAAAGCTGGCCTCGAAAAAGCCATAGCCCTCGATACCGCTGCGGATGGTCTCGAGCAGCGGACCGAGCCGTGCAACGTTGCCGTCGTAGCAAATGGCGTGGAAGTCGAACGAGATCAGCGGGCAACGCGAAGTGGAGCCGTCATGAGACTCGAGCGCGCGGACGTGGCTTTCGTACGTGTCGGTGAGCAGCTTCTCGCCCTCTTTGGATCCGAGCAAGTTGACAAGCCACATGCGTTGGTAAATGTCGAGCTGCCGTTCAATGTGTCGGGAGAACGCGGGCGCGGTGGCCTCAAAGCCGCGCGACAGGCGGACCTTGTGCGAGCCGACCTGAACGCCGGGCTGCTCCCAAAAGACGGGCACGGAGCCGCGGATCTGGATGTGCGAGAGAATCTTGTCGCCACGGATGAGCAGTTGCTCCGTCTCGGCAAAGTTGGCCACGTTGCCATCGTCGTCGACGCCGCGGGTGAGGAAGCGCTTGCCAGCACGCTCGCAGCTCAGGCGCGAGATGACGGCGACGCGAATCTGCTCGGCACCCGCATACACGGTTCGGAATTCGACAAAGCCGCGCGTGACGGACAGGCACCATGGATAGGTTTCAATGCCGTTCTGTTCAAAGGGTTGTTGGAGGTGACGGTTCCACACAAAGCGATCGTCGGGCATGTCGCCTGCGCTCTGGCGCTGTGCCGACAGGGACAGCTCGTAGCCAAAGGCAAAGTAAAAGCTTCCGCCGGTGACGAGCTTGCGCGTCTCAACAATCTGCTCTTGCAGCAACTCGCTAATGACGGCGAGCTCTGCCACGGTCGGGTTGACGTACTGCCCGCTGGGGTTTTTGGACTGCGCGCGCGCCACGGGGACAAACTCGACGTTGCGAATGCGAAAGATTTCTGCATCCAGCACCTTGCCCACCGACATGCACTCGGTGATGAGGACGAGGAAGATGTCTGTGAGGGAGAAGAGCGAGGTTGAGAGAGCAGTTAGTGTTGTCGGACCAAACAACGAGGTTGTCGTTTTTTCTCCATCTTTTCCACTTGTCCTATCAATTTGAGACGTACCATTGCATAGCGTGATCAGACCCATGCAGCCGTAGCAGTCGTAGCTCTTGACGTACTCCTTGTCCTGGCGAATGTGCTCGATATCGACGGGCGCTGGCAACCAACCACCGCCAAAGAAGAGTCAAACAAGGCAGCATGAAGCATCAATTTGAGTGGTACATTGAGTGAGTGATGCATTGTGTGAGTGAGTGAGTGAGGGTCGCATTGGAAGGCACTGAACTGTGGTGGCTTCTTCTTCTTCTATCTCGCTCTCTCTCTCTCTCTCTCTCGCATTGCCGCCGCACCGAGTCTTGAATGTTGTTCCAATCGTGTCATCCCTCCAACACTCTGTGCCGCAAGTCAAGTCCGCAGCAGTTGGGGGGAGGGGGCAAGTCCAGTCCAGTTCCAGCTCCTTTGAATGGAAAA